GCCTACAGTATTTTTACAGTCTTTATTTTACAGTAAAAATAAATGTTTATTAAATAAAGTCTAATGTTACAACTAATCGTGGATCCCTTTAAAATCGCGCGTGAGTACGTTTGTTCTTGTGWTAACTCATTACAAATATGGGGGCAACGGATGTAAACTCTTATATGAGATATATTTATATTGCTACCAGTAGAAACATCCAGTCGTTGATCACGTGACTCCCGTGATGCGAAAAAAGTGTTTCCATTGCAGTTTTGCTAAATACACCTATTTCGATAGTCAAAAAAACACCATCCTAGCGCAAAACCATTTAATCAAAAAAAAAAAAAACCGTACGTTTTTTGAAAATGACGTGTTTCCATTCTGCAAAATTATTTTCAAAATTCTAATTTGTTCATTTTTTTGGTCAATGGAAACACAGCTGTCACCCGCTGTCAATCAGACAGAATGACCCACCCTGCTCTGCTCTGATTGGGTAAAACGTTCACTGTAGTTTTTTTTATTGGCTGAAAGAACCATCAGTTAAAACACAGTATCATCACTGGTGTAATGCCTTCAACAACAAAACACACGTTTTTTTCCTCCTTTCATTTACAGATACCAGTAATTAGTCACAGTGTTGGCAAACTTAAATCTATGATTTAAGGTCTGTTCGTCTAAACAAAAATAGCCTAAACAACCTAAAAGCCCTTACTATATGTCAACTGCTGATGATCTTATGATATTTAACAGGATTCACCATTAGTTTATTTTACAGTTAAAATAAATGTTTATCAAATAAAGTCTAATGTTAAAACTAATCGTTGATCCCTTTAAAACATTTGAAACTTGCTTGTCTAAATTCTTCATCATTCTTTATTTTTGTTTTTTTTAACAATGTTGAATGTATTCCACCATGGTGACATGTTCTTTCAGCGACATCCTTTAAAAGTCCTAATTAAGGGCTGAATCATGTTATCAGTTTTTACTTCAATGACTTGGATTATTGTTAGTAAAACATACTAACCACGGGCCTGAGATAGCTCCAGCCTGAACATAATGCAGTTTTTATCAAAAATATTCTCTCATTCTAAAAATTGAAGCAGCTAGTTCTGGGATCTGAGTGGGGAATGCAAATGTTAAAATCAACTTAAACCTACGTGTTTGTTACCAAACAMCTTGTAAACAGTTGATAGTTTGTACTCACTGTTGTTGGCGAGAGCCTTGAGCAGGCAGTCCAGACAACTCTCAGTGCTGTCGCTGGTGCTGTCTGATGACGCCAGCTTCAGTTTCTCCAGAGCTTCACTCAAGTTGTCTGAAAAACATTTCATCACATTAATTATCACGATGATCAAGTTAACATAATCTTGAAGTTTTATAGTCCTTTCATTTGAAAAGACTTTAAAATGTAAACCAAGTGGTCATTTCTGAGTGTGCAACATATGTCAATAAATATAGTGATTTAGTTTTATACGTTAAAGGGATCCACGATTAGTTGTAACATTAAACTTTATATGATAAACATTTATTTTAACTGTAAAATAAAGACTGTAAAAATACTGTAGGAT